TTTCAATACAAAATATTTATCTTAACCACTTCAATACCGGGCACTTTTACCCCCTTCCTGCCCAGGCCGATTTTCACCTTTCAGCACTGTCGCATTTTGAATGACAATTGCGCGGTCTTGCAACACTGTACCCAAACTAAACTCAAAATTAAATGGCCGAAAACGTGCCACATTCCTATAAATTAGAATTTAAAGAAACATTTGACATGGTGGGATTTTTAAGGCACATCACAACCATTCTCTTAATATATACACTTTATTTGTACATAAATATTAAAAAACAATTTTACATCAAATTACATGTCTAAAATCACAGATGCCTTGAAAGCTGCAGCTCAAAATATAATACAAGTTACAGATTCAGATTCTCAGAAAGCTCAACACGTTTCTTGGATTTTATCCAATTCATCAGGAGTTAGAGATGATTACCACTAAATTTGAAAAAACATATATATTGTATTAACACATATTATTATATTCCGCCTAATATGTATCTATAGTTTTTATTTTCCATTTACCTGAATATGTCCAAAAGAAAAAGAAAAAGGAAGAGAAAACCACAGAGGAAGAATCTATACCAGAGGCTCGGACAGAGACGCACATGTAGGTGTGAGAATCCCACAAAGGTGGTTGCAAAGAGGCGCTACATAGCCATATTAGTGGATTATCCAATAAAATTGATAATAGCACAGTTTTTTTTTTTCTTATAATTATTTCTTAGAAAATATCCCAAATATATACATGTATTTAAACATACACATGTCCATACAGCTATCCCTCAAAAAGCATATTATCACATACATGTGTGCATGCATATATTAGCCATGCATACTGTATATGCCTGTGCTAACTTACAAATACTGTAAGCTGTACCCAAAATAAATTTTTATCAGTTTGTTCACAAATAGAGCTTTCTGTTGGTGGTATTTGATCACCACTGCTTTTTAATTTTGCTAAATAAACAAAAATTAAAAAAAAAAACAAGCTTTTCTTCGTTTCTGTTATAAAATGTTGCAAAAAATATATAATACTGCTACATTTCTTTGGTGAAAATAACCCAAATCAGTGTAATATTATTTAGTTTGTTGGACGGTTATAGAGCCCACAAACTATTGTGTATATCTGAAAATTGACCTATTCTGCTGTAATGTTGGCCTATTTAATTTCTTGAGGCCCAAAAATGTCAGGACAATACAGATATCCCCAAATTATCCCTTTTTGGAAAATAGACAGTGTGAGGTATTTAGTAAGAGGCACGGCAAGTTCTTTGAAGTTGTAATTTTTTGTCATATTTTGTAGAAAACGAAGACTTGAAAAAAAAATTCACAATTGTGACCAGTGCAGTACAGCGTCATCATATATTTGGTGTGGTGGTGAACAGGGACACTGACTGGTGACAGTACATAAAAAAAAGCTAACTTTTGTTTTTCTATTTTGTTTTATTTTTTTATTTTTATTAAATTTTTTCTTTTTTTATGATTTTTTTTATAACAGACCGTGACCAGAGTAATAAAATGTTACCATGTTAACATTGTACTGCTCTGGGAAAGTGATCAGTATTTTTTTTTTTACATATTATGAATGCTTATAACAATGGATTTCATTGCTATAAACAAGCATTTTACTTGTTATTGTTTCTCAAACTTTTTTTTTTTTTTTTTTTTTACATGCTGTCACTATTGCAGTACAGCACCATCATATTTCTGGTGTGGCAGTGATCATAAACACTGACTGGAGACAGGACAGTACAAAAAAGAAAAATATACTTTTGTTTTTTAGCTTTTCTTCAATTTTTTATTACTTTTTTTTAATTATTTTTTTTCTAACACACTGTGACCAGAGTAATATAATGTTACCATAGTAACATTGTGCTACTCTGGGGAAGTAATCAGTATTTTATTTTACACATTATAATTGCTTATAGCATTTAATGTCATTGCTATAAAGAAGCATTTTACTGAATGAAATCCATTCATTCAGTTTGTTTTGTTGTGATTAACTGTGATTGGCCACAGCTAATCACATGACACAGATGGTTTTTGATTGGCCCAGTCTGTACCATATGATCACAGTGAGCAATCACAGTTAGCAACACAATTGTATACAATGAATGGCATGAAAGGAAGCCATCCATTGCTAACAATTATCACATGACCTACTGTGATTGGTCACAACGGTCCCATGGTACCTGCAACAGGCTAGTACACAGATCTGTCATCAGCTGTGTCCATCAGATATGTGCGAGGTGGCGATCTGGGAGGACGTCATATGACGTCCGCCCGTATCAACGACAGTCCTGCCCAGCCATCATTTAACTATAGCCAGGGCGAGAAAGTGATGTTTGGTGCACTGACTTATATCTGTACTGTTATAAAATCTGTAACAAGACATCACAGCAGAGGTACAAAAACACTTTCTGTGATATGTATTCATTTATCTTTTCTTTTTTTTTTTTAATTATAGATTGTGTTTTTTTTCTTTGTAATGTTACAGTAAAGTATTGTAGGGTTCCTTCACAACATGTGTTGGGCTGCACTGGACAGACTTGCCTTAAGCAGTCCCAACACATAGACATGGCAATTTGCCTTGAGTTCTATGAGTTCAGTTCATATCACTACACTGCGGTGTTGTGCAATAAAAAAAGCAGGACATGCATTCTCATGCAAGGCAGTATATTTTGATGCACTTCACTGCATCACAGCACACTATGGTGCATAAAGATGAATTCAATGTCAGTTTGCCACATTTCAATAAAGTTAAAAAAAAGAAGGTAAAAAAAGTGATGCATTATAGTCAACACAATGCACCACCCCTAACTTTACACACCAACACCACAACAAGCCCTTAATGTAAAAAACCAATGCTGATGAAGCGCCTCACGTAAAGAACTAAATATATAAAGTACAATGATATAAAAATATAAAATGCATATAAACTGACCATGCTGTATTGAAAGATACAAATGACTAGTGCTAAGTATTGCCCCCCCCAAAAAAAAAATATATATATAAGTGCCAAATGCTGAGAGTGCAAGACAGGTCATGCGGTTGCTGACTAGATCGTGCCAAAATACAATATATGCAAAGTAAAAGTAATACACAATAACATTGCACACTCTAACTGAAAGTGACAGGTGCTCAGTATGAGTATAAATGTAGGTTAAAGATAAAAATCCACAATAAAGTGCAATAACAAGTGCTTGACATTTCATATGCAAACAAACACCGCAATGTCAGTGCTTCAATTCTTCACTCCAAACATGATGCGTGTTAGCATGCCACACATTTATATTGTAATCCAAAAGTGTCTAAAGTGCCTCCTCACCTTAACCATGCGACCTCTAAGGGCCACAATGCTTTAAGTAATAATGCTCCACCAGACTGGGGATCTCTGTTATAATGCTCCTCTAGTACAACTCAGTCCCCTCTGCCAGGTCACTTATGCCAGTATTGCAGATCTCATACAGCTTGTCTCCCATTTTCTGTGGGTGCACTGCAAGGTGCTGGGTGTCCAAAGATGGCGTCTGCCGGATGTGCGTAACCAGAAGTACGTCACCGAGCTCTACGCGTTACTCCACGATGTCACGTGGCTTCGACAGCCCTTATAGTACTCTTGCTTGGCATAAAAGAAAACCGTCTTTGTATTTTAATTTTATTACATTAATTACTCATGCTTCACTGCTGGACATGCCTGGTTTAAAAAGGAAACCTCTTTTTTTACAATGATAAACAACATTTTCTTTAGAAAATAATGTGAGATCTTTTCTTGTGACCAAGGAAACAAGGAAGCAATGTTCAGTTTATAGTGTGGCCAATAAATACCAAGCTGACAATATCTTCTAAATGACAGTGTTAGATTTCCAGTCTGCATATAAATCAGTTTTATTGCCAACGCTTATTTTGAAGTTATTTTATTGTCATGGTATTTGCAATTTAAAGAGTTAGCTAACTGATAAATGCCGAAACATTGAAAGAAAGCAATTAAAAGTTTGGGGAAAGGAAGATCATGAGGGTAACTTCCATTTTCCAATGACACACACACACACACTATACATATATATATAAAGAGAGAGAAAGCACTACCCTCTTGAGGGCCGCTGGATTTGTTTTGGGTCCCCCTAAGCTCTCCTCCCCTCCTCTGCCCCTCTTCCACAAAGTTCTCACTATTTCTGGAAGGGTGGGAGGGCTTCAGAAGCCTTGACTTGTAGAGCCGCCCAGCCTGTACTGAGGTGAACTCACTCTACCTCAGTCACAGACTGACTCATCCCAGGCTGCCGGGAATATAGGCTATCTAGCTAAACCTAAAGGGTGCTACATCTATATAGTATATCTGTAATAAGTAAGTATACAGCGGCTTTAATTGTATATCAACTATTTCATTTATAGTTACATAAGCAGAAATTATAGTGCTACCCTTGGAGGAACTGTTGGATTTGTTTGGGTCCTCCTAACCTGCTCCAATGAAGCACCCACTTTGTACCTGGACCTAAAGTAACACTGACACCCCTGGAACTGTTGAAATGGGCTTTATTAACAGGAAAAGTCATGAAAGGGTAGATGGGTTATGAAAAAGAGTAATGGCAATTTACTGTAACATAGACTGACTGGTGAGCACTCTCAGCTACTGGCACAGGCAATGGATAGGCAATGTCAGATAATAGCAAAATTGATAAAATAATCATGTACTAATGAATCTATTCCAGTCCCTAACTAGCCACTGGCCAATAGAGAATTAAATATAGTCCTGCTAGCAATGGGGCACATAAATTATGATGTACTGCTCACTCTCAGCTGAGATATTTGTAATCCACAGGGAAATTAAAGTGTTACTAAACCCAGGACCCTGAATTCACTATATCTGGTCTCCCTCAGTACAAAAAACATGGAAATGCAATTATCTTAGTAAATATAAACTGCGAAATACCTTTTCAGCAGTTAGAACAGCCTTGTGACTTCTATCAGTGTTCAGCAGAGCACTGGTTAAAGCTTGTAGGAAGAGTTTTCTCTAGGAGAATGCAGAACCTCTGACCTCTGTCTGGGCAGTGCTCATTGGCCCTGTGCTGATCACATGCACTCTCCCAAGAAAAAAAAAACAAGCCTCTTTAGCAATACACACCAAACTGAGCATGCGCAGTGTCTCCACATGATATGTCTTATCAGGAGAAGTCAGTATCAAACAGCATTTTTACACAATGCAGAGGATTAACCCCTTAGGTTCCACATTGAATATAACAAGCATGCTTTACTGCATATACAGACTGATTTTACTGTTGTGGGTTTAGTAACACTTTAAGCATTACAGTTCCCTCTCTTAAAGCACAAAGTTAACAACAATAGCCAAACAACTCTGGTACCATGGAAAACTTCTTTTAGATACACTTAATATCAGTGAGAGTCATTCCCACATTCAAGATGGATAAAGATTGGAACTAGACCAAAACTCCCGAGTGGAGCACTTGATTAGTAACAAAACAGCTTATTCCCCAGCAGTGAATGGTGGAATGCAGCACCGGAATACTAGTATAGCACAGCATGTGGTCCTGAACTCTTTAGCACACAACCCAGGCACAGTAGCACAGTACCTGGACAATATACAGTGGGGCTCACAGTCCTGTACAGCAGCACAGTCTTTAGTGGGCACAGCAACCAGTAACACACTGCATTGGTTGCACAATTTAGAAAACACATGGCCTTGTGGCTTTTTTGGCACACTCACACCACATACAACATAGAAACCATGTGGCTCTAACAGCAAAGTCCTTTCCCTGGACTCCAGGTGACCTTTCCAGCAACAGCGGCAGCTAAAGCCCCAGAGCCCCTGCACACAGGCTTCCTGCTACTCTCTAGGCAATCCTAAGCACCAAATCCTGCCCCAGGCTCACTGCACCCTTCTAAGCACACACATCTGGTCAGCCCCGGGTTCCAGCTGTCTCTCCTTCCTGGCTGAGTGGCGGCCAATCACATTCCATCATTGTCACATTGCTAGGGGTAGTCAGTGTCCAGGTTTCAGCAGCAGCCAATGAAGATCTGCTTCTGCTCCCCTTTTCTCTTTTTTTGAGGACGTTTTCTCCTTTTGAATGTTCTCCTTTTTCTTCTTGTGAGTAAGGGTGCTTTGCTAGGAAGCTTAAAGGGGCCACCAGTAGGTGCTACATTTATTTTTCACAGAATAATATTGAGGGTTTGTAATTTCTTTTTAACTCCACAGGAAAATGTAAAGAGTACACTAGAAAGTAATTAGCTAATTATGTTACCTACTGGTTTCCTAAAAAAGTATATATACTGTAAAGATGTGTGAAAAGTTCTAAAATGTACTTGTTTTGCCACCCCACCAAAAGATGGTTTAAATATTTTCACTTCTCTTTATCCAAATAATGTATCTATCTTGTAATACTTGAGACAGAACTGTCTAGGTCTGTTGACATCTAGGAAATCAGGCTACACTATAGATGCAACTGGTAAACTAGTCAGTGATCATTTATGCTGTGACTTCACTGTAGCCTTGGCTTGGTGTTTTGCCTTATAATCCCTGAACATGATTATTTCATTCAGAGAAATCAATTTCAACTGAATCACTTACTAGAATTTCTAAACCCACACCTGTCTTTCCTAGTTGTCAGAAAGCCCTTGAGCTGCCCATGCAAGTTCCTGAAATAGAGTGTATAACTTTTAATAACAACAGACCATTGGACAGTTGCACATCTGCCTCCATTGCATAAAACACCAGGCTTGTTTTTGATAAACTTCCAACCAAAAAACAAACCTCTAAAGAGTCTGTGTGCAAATAGCACAATGGCAGAAAAGGTGTCCAGTGCGCCCCCTCACCAAATAACCGTGACATGTGTTGTCCTTCCATGTGCTCCTTGCAGAGAAGGCCAGATATAGGTTGGGGCAATTGCCATTTTTGTTTTTACCATTGGATTTTTGGTGAGAAGGCACACTGGAATCCTTTGCTGCCATCGTGCTGTTTGCTGGATGTCCAGTGAGCCCCTGTGCCTTTAAGGAAGGATGAGCTCCCTCCAGGCATACCTGCCCTCAGTCTATCCATTCTTATATATGTGCTCCTATTATGGAGGCTATCAAAATTAGTGGAGTTAGGACTGCAGATATTACTGCCATGAAATGGCCCCAGCAGTTTCGCATGTGTTTGCAAATATGTGCAACCTAAACCCCTGTTTTTTAACAAGAACTATTAGAGAGGACAATTTGGTTTGTTGCAGGATGGCTGGTAAATTGAGCTGGGAATTTTTCTTTGTTGTTTGACATGTGTTGCCCTTTCATGTGCTCCTTGCTGCAAAGGCCAGTTATAGGATGGATGCAGCTTAGCCAACTGGCACACTGCTTCATGACCCAGGAAACCAGGTTTCCCTGATCAAATCTCCAGACTATGGTAGCACTTGTTTGAGCGCCCCCTGCAGTGGAGTAGACAGACTGTACCTGCCTACAAGCATGCTTGGCATATTTTGTTCTATGCTAATAGAACCACTGTCATATTTTCATTGTAGTTTGATTTCCTGCTGGGGAGATTCTCCTACATTTTGTTGTATTCTCTTGAACAGGGAATGATAGTCAGTGAGGACATACACAGTATTTAAAACTTAACAAAAGTTCTAATCCCTCCAAACTCTACCCAAAGCTGAAAGAAGTATTCCAGGTATTGATATTTTATGCATCGTTACATTGGTCCAGCTTGGACTAACATAACTATGCATATACCATACCTGTCTGAAGCCCATGGAAGCTGGAAATCACTGCAGCAGACAATGCTACTCCAGTAGAATATGGGTAAAGTTCATGCTGCCTTTATCAGCGGGTGGAAATGAGATTTTGAACAGTTGCTCATTGACGTAAGTCCTTGCAACCAGTCATTTTGTAGCCCATATGGCGTATAAGGAGCTTGTGAGCATTTATTCTTTGAACATGTCTGTTGTTTGGTTGCAGCTGCTATTATTGAAACCTGCTTTTAGTATGATCTTGGGCTATTTTCACATCAGCCCCATGATAATCTATTTTCTGCCTTTTTTCTTTCACTCACTCCTGTTCAGCTCCCACTCTGCTTTTCTCCCTCTCCCAGTGTTCCATGGTCAGCTCTTGTTACTCTTTACGTTCCACTCGCTAACTTGATTAGCTTTCCCTCTGACCCTGGTCCAAAGCCATGTTTTTCTATGGTTCCTTGGTCCACAGCTGGTTGCAATTCTACTCCCCCTATTTTACCACCTCTAAGTCCATGTTAAACTGCCATTTTGCCTCTTTTTTCTTCCTTCGTGGTACTTGAACATCTCCAGCTCTGCCACTTCTTCTGGTGGTCCATGATTATCTTCCTCTCTGCCTTTTATGTGCCACTGCACTCTCCACTCCATTGCTGTACACATTGCTGTAAAGTTTTCCAGTAAAAAAAAATTGGATTCTACTTTAGTTGGTATTTTGGGGCTTTCATTATATTTAGGGGCGTATTTGCTTTATGCAAAGCTTTCCTTTCAATAAAAAGTACGGTAAAGGGCTTGCTTTTCCTTTCAATACATTTTATTGAGGATTTTTCAAGTTTTGATAGTACAAATGCAACTGCTGTCTTGTGTACAAGTAAACTATAACAATAATAGGCAACAATGCAAAAGCAGTCGTGCACAGAAAAAAACATATCTATGATTGGTAACAATGTAACCAATATGTCAAAGAATAACATCAACCTTATTGTGTCAATAATATCTGCAAAAGGAGAAAATAAGGGACTATACACCTATTGCCTAACTTCTGGCAATAACAAAAGAAATAGTGGCAATATGAATGCACAAAGTGTATAGTCAAACCAGAGAACATATAGAATACTTTGTAATTTATCCCTGCGAAAAGAGCCAAAAAAAAAGAGAGAGGCAGAAGAGTCAAAATGAGAACATCAAAAGCGCTTAAAACCTGGGCCATGAGCCTTCTGAAGCTATAGCAAAATAAAATTGCCTATTGGCATAGCAGGATGGGCATATTGAATCCATGGAGTCCATATTTCGAAGAATCTCTTATGGGTATCAGAAAGAATGCTAGAGTTTTTCATTAACCAGGAAAAAATCTATATGGCTATGGACTTCCATGAAGGATATAAATTGCTGTTTCTAGGCTTTTGCTATAGTTTATTTAGCTGCCAATAGTACGTAAGTAGCCAGCTTAAATTGGTGTTTTGTGAGGTCCGAGGGCTTCAGGTGTATAAGAATATGCCATGGGTCCTTGGGAAGGGGCGAGCTAATAATGATCGCAAGAGTTTAAGTACCTTTGACCAGAACCAAGAGAGCACAGGGCATGTCCACCGTATGTTTAGGACGTCTCCTGGAGTAGCGTAGCCATGGAAACAGGTATTGGGGGCTGATGAGTGTAGGTGTGCTAAATGGGACAGGACCAAATACCACATAACAGTGGTATTACCACGTAACCACAATATTTACCACAAAAACCATGTAACAGTTTTGAAGGCTGATTCCATTGTAAGAATATTGATAGAACAGGAGGTCAGTGTTGTCCAGACTGTATGAGGAAAGAACAAACAGAGGGTGCACAGGCCTAGTGCATTACCATAAAAAAATGTTTAATAAGAAATAAAGTAGGTGTTGTACTCACAAAAGACAATAAAGTCAAGGCACATCATAAAAGAACAGCTGGTCAACACCGCGCTGAGTAACAGTCCGCAATAGGGAGTGTAGACATCCAATAGGCTGACGCGTTTCAAGGACTTGCCTCTTCCTCATATAATATAAGCCCTTCCCCTGAAAATAAGACCTACATCCACCAGGGGCGGACTGACCATTCAGACACTGCCCGAGGACTCGAGGTCACTGCAGGGCCCCATGAGAGGCTCAGTCCATCCCTGTATGTGCCGCTTCTGAAATAGCAGGCATTAAGGGGACAGACAGTGAGGCAGGCTCTTCGGACACCTCTCCTCCTCGGAGTTTTAGCAGAGGGGCGGGTCCTCATCCCTGCCATGGGTACTGAAGTCGGAGTGCTGGAGGGGCGGGCAGAGTATGCATCAGGTAAGTATGTAATACCCTGGTGACAGCACTGCAGCTTCATGTAGTAGGTAGGGGAGAGGGGAGAAAGAGGGCAGAGAGCGAGAGAGAAAAAGCAGAGGGGGAAGAGAAGAGAGGGCAGAGAGAGAGAAGGCAGAGGGGGGGGGGGGGAGCTTGCTTTAAAGCTTACCTTTTTGTGGAGCTGGTGGAGACGTCAATAAAAATAAGATCTACCCGAAAATAAGCCCTAGTGCATTTTTCTCACCTAAAATTAATATATGACACTGTCTTATTTTTCGGGGAAACAGTATTATCTGTCTCTTAATTCTTGTAGTAAAACACCTGCCTGTACTCTTTGTCTTTAGAACAATTTGGTCTATTATTCCTTATTAAAACTGTCCTGCTACTGGCCAATTTGAAACTGCTTTATCCTCTTGCACTATCGTAATTATTGTAGTAAAGTCCCAGCATGTGCTGTTTGTCCCTAGTAAATTTAGGGCTAGCCTTGTATTTTAAATTGTCCTGCTGTTGGACAATTTCACTCTGCTATGTCATCTATGGTTTCCTAATTTATGTAGTAAAACATCTCACTCATTAAAAAGGGTCTGCTACTAACCAATTTTACAAATTTACCAATTTTGCTTCATCATCTACAGTCGACAGAAATTGGCCAGCGGCATGACAGTTTTGCATCTATAAGAACAGGCACAGCCACAACAAACTACTAGCTAATTTTTATCTGTAATTCAAAGCAGATCTATTTAGTGAAAGACAGATTGTAGTGATCTGCTACAGGCATTATTCCTCACCTCTGCAACATAGGGGGCTGGCTCCCAGCAGTTGCTGAAGAAGAGGAAGATGCTCACCATTTAAAAGTCTTGATGTCATTAAACTCGCCATCGTGCAGACTGTGTCACTTGGTATGTACAAGCCTTAAAGTGTTACTAAACTCAGAACCCTACATTCCCTATATCTGGTCTCCCACAATACACAGAATATGGAAATGCAATTATTTTAGTAAATATAAACTGCTAAATACTTTTTCTCATCAGCTGTTAGAGCAGTCTTGTGACTTCAGCAGAGCACTGGTTAAAGCTTGTAGGAGAAGTTTTCTTTCTGCTCTAGGAGGATGTAAAACCCCTGACCCTCTTTCTGGACAGTACTGATTGGCCCTGTGCTGATCACATGCATTCTCCAAAGAAAAAAATCCTCTCTAGCAATACACACCAAACCAAGCGCATGTATGTGACTACGGATTCAGTCTGTATCAGGTGGTCATTTCAACAAGAGGATGGGGAGAGAAGAAAGGCTCAAACAACGTTTTTACACAATGCAGACTATTAACCCCTTAGGTTCCACAATGAGCATAACAAGCATGCTTTACTGCATATACAGACTGATTTTACTGTTGTGGGTTTAGTAACACTTTAATGCATTTTATTCCAAATGGAGCTTGCTCACAGGATAGAGGTTTGGCTTGGCTGCAGCAAAGGTGCAGCGTAACTGTGGCTTTCGTGCAGGTTACCCATGGTTTCCCATAGACTTTCTATTACGTTCTATGTTTTGTGGTTTTGGTGCGTTTTCTGAAAGTGCTTCAAAAGTCCTGCATGCTACATTCTTTTTCACTTTTCAGAAAATGGATTAAAATCACAGTACATAATAGAAAGTCAATGGGAATCCATGAGTAACTCGCACAAAAACCGCAGATACACTGTGTTGCACCTGTGCTTTGGCCAAATTGCAGGGGGGCAGTGTCAAAGGGGCCTAAACCTTCACTAATGCAAGTGTCCATCACAGACTCTTCCCTAAGAATAAACACATTGTTATCTTAATGTATTCCACATAATACCATTTATGAGTCTATATAAATATAAAAGTCATGGAAACAATGAGGTTCTTCATATTTATGTCAATCCATCAGGACCAGTAAAATATAAATACAATGTATTAACAATAGTAAAGGTCCGCAACCATGACTTTATGCATCAGTGAGGTCTGTTGATCTAAGGTCTACAATTGTATATTTCAAATTATAGTATCTTTGCCTCATCATAGCACAGCTATCCATTCAGCAGTCATACTTCATTTAGAATGATCACATTTATTCAAGAATATACAAAATAATATTAAAAATGAATACAACACATTAATGCAGTTCAATGTGATATTTAGCATGTACATACATTCATTTGCTCCTAATAGATTACTCTTAGAGCTAAGTCCAATGAGTAGGCTCTGATTGGAATGAAACATATTAGAACTTGTATATATCAGGCAGCACAGTCTTTGGGATGGAGAGTTTAATAAACTGACATCAAGGCTTTTTAATGGTGAGTGTCTTCCTCTTCTTTTTGAGAGCTTATGTATGGAGCAAATCTACTATAGTTTGAAGAAAAAATAATGTGTTTCTGCTGAAACTACCTGAAAAAAAAGACTTTTTGAAATTAATTAGATTGGGATAATTGTATTGTATGTAAATCAAGCTAATTATAAATTATTATTATAAAAAAAAAATAATTCTACAGCCAAATATGTGTTGCATGTGTATGCTATCACCAGATGGAATGTCCATGAGAATCGTATTGTTCTGGCATCCCACAAGCCTGTTTTTACAATAGTTTGCCTAATAACGCTCAAAATGGCAAGAGTTTAACAAGATTCAGCCACATAGAGTTCAGTAGGATTTACCTCTAAGTTCAGGTTCGCTGTACTGTAAACAAGATTTGCTGAACCTCTAGAAAATCAAACTCACGCAGATTCAACCATCATTAGTAGGGCATGAGGAATTTAGTATGGGCAATGGTGCTTGTTACAAGTTGCACAGAGCAATGTAATATTATATGGACTAATCTATACAATAAAATCTATATTTGGTAAATAAGTTATTTCATCTTTCTTCCCCACTAGTCCAGAAGTCTGCAAAGTCAGATAAATGTTTTAGTTCAACTCATTTTTTAAGAGAGAGGTTAATTTTCTATAAGCTAAGGGGTTTTAGTATTGTTAATCATACATTGTCCCCTATCAGCAGGTATGCATACCCATGTTTGCATAAGTGTGTTCTGGTTTTCTGTGAGCACCCTAAAACATTTCGTAATTTTGATCAGCGTAAACAAAAATTTGCCTCAATATATGCACTTTATTGCCAAAAGTATTGGCACACTCCTCCAAAGTATTGGACTCAGGTGTTCCAATCACCTCCATGGCCACAGGTGTATAAAATCAAGCACTTAGGCATGCAGACTGCTTCTATAAACATTTGTGAAAGAATGGGTCAGTCTTAGGAGCTCAGTGAATTCAAGCATGGTACCGTGATAGGTTGCCACCTGTGCAATAAGTCCATCCATGAAATTTCCTTGCTACTAAATATTCCACGATCAACTGTTAGTGGTATTATAACAAGTGGAAGCAACTGGGAACAACAGCAGCTCAGCCATGAAGTGGTAGGCCATGTAAAATAACAAAGCGGGGTCAGAGCATGCTGAAGCGCACAGTGCGCAGAAGTCGCCAACTGTCTGCAAAGTCAATTGCTAAAGACCTCAAAACTTCATGTGTCCTTCAGATTAGCACAACAGTGCATAAAGAGCTTCATGAAGTGGGTTTCCATGGCCAACAATGCATAGAGAGCTTCATGGAATGGGTTTCCATGGCCAAGCAGCTGCATCCAAGCCTTACATCACCAAGTGCAATGCAAAGCGTCAGATACAGTGGTGTAATGTAAGCCACCACTGGACTCTAGAGCAGTGGTGATGTGTTCTCTGGAGTGATGAATCACGCTTGTCTGGCAACCTGATAGGATGTGTCTGGGTTTGGCGGTTGTCAGGAGAACGGTACTTGCCTGACTGCATTGTGCCAAATGTAAAATTTGGTGGACGGGGGATTATGGTGTGGGGTTGTTTTTCAGGGGTTGGGCTTGGCCCCTTAGTTCCAGTGAAGGGAACTTTTAAGGCGCCAGCATACCAAGACATTTTGGACAATTTCATGCTCCCAACTTTGTGGGATCAGTTTGGGGATGGCTCCTTCTTGTTCCAACATGACTGCACACAGCAAGCTCCATAAAGACATGGATGAGCGAGTTTGGGGTGGAGGAACTTGATTGGCCTACACAGAGTCCTGACCTCAACCCGATAGAACACCTTTTGAATGAATTAGAGTAGAGACTGCGAGCCAGCCCTTCTCGTCTGACATCAGTGCCTGACCTCACAAATGTGCTTCTGGAAGAATGGTCAAACATTCCCATAGACACACTCCTAAACCTTGTGGACAGCCTTCCCACAACTGTTGAAGCTGTTGTAGCTGAAAAGGGTGGGCCAACTCAATATTGAACCCTACAGACTAAGACTGGGAAGCCATTAAAATTCATGTGCGTGTAAAGGCAAGCGTCCCAATACTTTTGGAATATAGTGTATATATGTCTGTTTCAGATATTTTTAGCTCATCGCACTATTGCAGATGATAGATTTAGTTCTTTAGGATCCACCAGCACTATATAGTACATCAACACCACATACTAGTGTCTTATTGGAACACAACTGAACATCATTAGCTTATGGAATAATGTCATGGTGTGCAGAAGAACTGGTGTACCAACTGAGTAAATAACCACTTGTATTGATATATTGTCATGGCACCTAGAAAATCTTTAATTATAGCATTTTCTGTGCTTATTGTAATTTAAAATATGTGTCTACGTATAAGAATGTTGGAAGAAGACAACAGTATAATTACATGTTTTCAGAGTATGCTACAACATGATATACATTAAAAATGCATTTGAAGGCATGAGATCTATTTCTGGAATGTCTAGAGCTTTAAGCTTCGAGCTTTCCAGATAAAAATCTTAAAGTGTTTCTAAACCCACAACAGTAAATCCAGCCTGTATATGTAGTAAAGCATTCTTGTTATACTCACAGTGGAACCTAAGGGGTTAATTCTCTGCATTGTGTAAAAAGGCTGTTTGATCCTTTCTCCTCTGCCCCTCCTCTTGTTGAAATGATCACCTGATACAGACTGAAACCTGGTCACATGCACATGCTCAGTTTGGTGTGTATTGCTAGAGAAGTTTTTTTTTTTTGCCTTGGGAGAGTGCATGTGATCAGCATAGGGCCAATCAGCACTGTCCAGACAGAGGGTCAAAAGTTTCACATCCTCCTAGAGCAGAAAGAAAACTCCTCTTATAAGCTTTGACCAGTGCTCTGCTGAAATCATTAGACTGCTCTAACTGCTGATGAGAAAAAGGTATTTAGCAGTGTATATTTACTAAAATAATTGCATTTCCATGTTGTGTGTACTGTGGAGATCAGGTATAGTGAATGCAGGGTCTTGGGTTTAGTAACACTTTAAGGTTTGAAATATATTATTTGAAAAAACAACTATTTCTCTACTTTTACCTGTTTAGAAATGCACCATATAATTATTGTATGGTAAACTACTTTTGGTAAAGTGGCTATATATTTTTGCTTTCCTTAAATAAAATAGCAAGTTTTTTTAAGTAGCTGATAATAAAGAATAATGATATGACAAGACCTATTTGGGAAAAAAGTCATATTTTTCCAGCCTTTAAAAGGACTTTTGCCCATGCTATAGACATTCAAATATTTACAGATTCTTAACCAGGAAAAAATGCTTTAAAATAAACACTTACTGGCCTCTGTAGCTGCAAGCTACAGAGCAATTTATTCACAAGGTTCACAGCAGAAGCATTTTAGTATCTAGTAATAGTTAGTAGGAAAGGGTTTATTTATTTCCCTTTGATGTGATCCCCTCCTTGTTGGAAATTATATTATAAATCCACTCCTTCTGGCAGATTCCTTTATATAGGGTGGGTAGAGTTTAGTAGCTAGTTAGTGGAGTGAAAGACAAGATGTAGGAGTGAAGTAGTGGAACAGTGTTCAGTTCCCCTATGTGGGTTTCCCCTGTCATGGGCTTTACTGCACCTGGCATCTGCTAACCTGAAGGAAAGATGCCAGAAGACTTGGGTTCAAGGATTTAAATCAGATACTACAAGTGCTTGCAGAGTACCATTTATATGTTACCATTATCTGGGAGTTATGTTGCTTCATGGTTCTAGTAATGAATTTGGGAATTTGGCTTCTGGCTGGATGTGTCGTGTGGGTAAAATAGGTCTGTACACAGTTGAGCTGCAGGCAGTCATTATATGGAGAACATTCTCATAACATGCTGGAGTGGTGATAGTGTCATGAACCGGAGTAACAAGGTACATGGTAAAAATCTGGCCAGGTCAAGAACTGGTGGTGGCTAATGGGAAGAGGTTACCCTCCTGGAAGTGAGATAATGATCTCTCACACATGTATTATGTGATCAGAGCCCCTAGGCATAGTTTTAGTCTCTGAGCCTTAGCCTGAAACCACAAGGAGAATGCAAGAGCTTTACGAAGTAAGTAGCTCCTGACTAAGCCGAGGG